GTCAGTCTATGTGAGTCAGTTCGTTATCAGACTTCCACTGCATAAATACTCATCCTATATTGGTTGATTCTTGGTTCTGCCCATACTCATTGGAGTATGTAACAGACACCCTACTTCGTGTCCGACTCCTCCTCCAGGCCACCGTCTGACTGTGACCAGCCCTTCCTCGTGTCTTCGTCCCCACTGTCGTTACTCTCGCAATCCGCACTGTTGTCTGATTGCTGTGCCATCATGTCCTCCAGCTTTCCCGCATCTTGTTGTGTCAGACGATGATTCTGACGATGATGGCGATGAAGACTATGCTGAACCTCTTCCATTTTTGTCATCAATGACAGCGGACAGGGACTTACCACATTGAAGGTCGCCACCTGGTCCGCCCTCACTAGCATATCCACCTGGGCCACGCTGCACGCACAAAACTCTCAGAGAGTCCGGCATGCTGAAGTTCTGTACGAAGCATGTGACAGGTGACCGTTTTAGCTGGATGACGAGCAGTTTGTGAAACATGGCGCAGAGGAGGTTGGTCAGAAACTTCCTACGCGTTCGAAGGAAGTCGCAGCCCGCGCAAGTCACGTTGGCTGACAGTCACATGCGCAAGTCAATCGACCGGTGTATTGACCCCGTCCCCGTGTACTTCGCCCCGCATGCAAGCGAGGCCGTGTCCTTCGACGTTTTGGACACCAAGTTCGCAGATTTGCAAGCATCTGCACCGCTGATCTACGCCGACTACGAGCGACGAAGACTAAGCTTGACAAACCTGCCCCTCCCACCCGGACTTTGGTCCCTCCCTGCGACAGGCAGCTTCGCCCTCGTAGGTAAGCTCAGTCTTTCAAGGAGGCGGGGGTGTGGCATACTGCGCATCTACACGGGCCTGCAAGGCCCGACCAAACAAGGAAAAGTAAGGGCCCTACAGGTCCTGTGTCGTTTTCAGCCTGAAAGCCTGAAAACAAGGGCCTACAGGCCCTGTGTCGTTTTCAGCCTGAAAGCCTAAAAACAAGGGCCTACAGGCCCTGTGTCGTTTCAGCCCGAAAGACTGAAAACGAGGGCCTACAGGCCCTGTGTGGTTTCAGCCTAAAAGCCTGGAAACGAGGGCCATTTTCAGGCCCTCGTAAAGTCGACCTGCCCTGAAACTGAGGCACCAGACCAGGGTTTTAGCACTGGCCTTTTTGGGCCTGTTTTCAGGACAACCTTTGCTTGAACTTCAACACCAGGGTCTGGCACGTTTTGGCATTGCCAAGAGCAGCCTCCTGGACGGGCCAGCACTATATAAGACTGGCCCGCCCTGCAGGCTGCAGGCAGTCACGAGGTAGTTCATAGGAACTTCCCAGGCACTTCACGTGCAGGAGGCAGGAGGCAGTGGAGGCAGTCTTCAGGATTCGGTAGCAGCACTCTGGAGGAGCGCTGCAGTAGTTGTAGTAGTGTTAGCAGTAGGCTTCAGCGCTGGGGGCTATTAGGAGCTAGAGTAGCGTGGGAGAGAGAGAGATGGTTGGCGGAGGCCAGGGAGACTTACCTGTGGCGCCATAGCTCCAGCTCCGTCTTCGATGTACCTGCAACAAGGCGCCACCTTCACAGGTTAGTACCGGA